GCCAGCACCGTCGCCCCCCTCCTCCCCCTTCCCCCCCCACGCCCCCCCCCCCCCCACCCCCCACCCACCCCCCCCCCCCCCCCCCCCCCCCCCCCGCCCCTCCCCCCCCCCCCCCCCCCCCACCCCCCCACCCCCCCCCCCCGCCCCCCCCCCCCCCCCCCCCACCCCCCCACTCCCCCCCCCCCCCCCCCCCCCCCCCCCCCCCCCTCCCCCCCCCCACCCCCCCCGCGCTCCCACCAACCCCCCCATCCCCCCGCCGCCCCCATCTGCGCAGAGGACGGCCTCGCAGGTTCGTTTGGGCTTCCCGGCGATGAAGAGCTCCACGGAAGCGCTCCCCAGGCCCAGGAAGCACAGCGTGGGCCAGTTCACAGGCCTCCGGTCGGCCGCCCCGGCGGTGGCGACCCGGGTGGATTGGACGGGCCTCTGGTCCCAGGTAGCCCATTGGCGGCCAACGAAGACAAAAGGAAAATGTATCTATGGTCGCCAATAGATGACTGGTAGATGTTTATGAGATTCCGAAGTTGACATACTGTTGTTTTCCGGATTGGTGTGAGAAGACTCACAGCTCTTGTCTTTCCCAATTTTAAGGCACAGGTAACCACGTCTCCATGTGCGGATGGGCGAATCAACTTTGACCAAGTCATGGATGAAACGCGATTTGAACAATCGACACACCACCTAGCAACTGCAGTTCTTCCACACAAAAAGTGGTGATCTTCAGAGGCAAATGCAGGCAAAGCATACAAGGAGCTGGGAACGGGAACCGTTTACAGCGAAAATCTCTGGGAACCTACATGGTAAGCAAGAGAAGCTGTTCCTTTCCCCCAAAACAACCCATTGGAGGACCCCAAAACCCGCCACCCAGGAAAGTGTTGGAAGGAACCTTTTTTTGGAAGCTTTGATCGAAGGGTTCTGAGAATCTTTTGGTGGGCCCTCATGTCTCCGATCGTCGATCAAACGGCCCCGTCTAGTTCCCAATTGGCTTTCGAAGGGAAAGCAAAACCAAGGCAACCAAATCTTGGCACACATCCACATGCACCTACCTAGTCTTCTTTTAAGGATCCTTCTGCTCATTCTGAAATGAAGCATTAGAACCTTCATAGAGTCAACCCTTCTGGAAGCAATGCGGTCTGAACATGTCTCTCAATCGAATTTTTCAACAGGCTTCCAGGTTTAAGCTCTCCATGCGAGGGCCGTCCGCCAGGAGGAATCGCCCAAAATTTAACAGCACCCTCCTTTCCCATTCTCTCCAGGCATCATTTTCTTCAAAGAATGGGCCAAAACCCTGGAAAATGGGGGGTTGGTTTCCAAAGAGAACGATGTTCGACAAAAATATGAATCCGCAACTTGCCAGGTGCAAACAAAGCTCTGACCTGCAGTGCATGTCTCATGGTCTGGGGCCCGGCACCACGCAAGGCCCTGCGCCTTTGCCTAAGGGACCCAGGGGGATTTGGGTCTGCCAAAATAGGATTCGGACCCCCAAAAGACTGCTTCCTTTTGGAACCAATCCTAAAGGCAAAACACGCACACACACACACTTATCTCGAGAGGCTTCACTAGCCGAGATGCAAAACGCAGTCAGTAAAAATGCTTGAATGCAAATGCAAATCAACAGGTCACAACATCGACACCGAACAGGAAGCAACAGCGACAAACAGAAACCGCAAAAAGAATCAGGAAAGAGGGTCAGGAACTAGGCAGGTACGCCGGATTGATCAGATCCGGTATCCACCGAAGTGCCGTAGCTTCATTGGACTGGATAGGCAAATCGGCTCCAGTCCCCCTGCAATGTGGAATTTCCGTCCGTGCTCCAGGACGCTTCACACACACGGAGCCCCACCTGGGGCGACATCACTTGTGCAAGGCCCATTGAGTCTTGCAAGCATCAATTGTGCGAGAAAGTCTTGTGGCGATGACTGACCACACATACTTGGCTTTGGAATTGGTCTTAAGGGAACGGAGGAGTTCAATCTCTCCCTCAGTCCAAGGCTGCGAGGCTTCAGGTTCGGCCTCAGGAGAGGCATCAGTCCTGGTCGATGTGGTAGCTTCGCTTGGTCCACGAGCAGGTTTTGGATGCCGTAGATCGTGAGGAGACCAAATCACGTGCGCGGCGAGCTCCTTTTTCGCCGGGAGAAGACGAAGGAGGGGTGGGCGGAGCCCAATGATCAGGGAATTGTTCGTCATGATCAGTGGGAAGGTGTTCATCTGGAGCATCAGGAGGTGGCTCAAAGAGGTTCTCAATGGCGGGGTTGAGCGTGGCCTCCGGTGCCAAATCAGGTTCGGCAGTCGGACTCTCAGTGAACTCGCGGATGGTGGCGATGCCTTGTTGGGCAATGCCAAGGATGAGTTCGAAGTCTTGGAGCAGCTGGCGTGCTGTGTTGGTATCCATGCTCGCAACGGATTTTGGTCAAACAGTCAAACAGCTGCGGCACGAAAATCAGGTCAAATCTGTCAGGATGCAAAGGCAGAGAAGAAAGCCAGTGTGGTTTAGCAAAGGACGGTTTTTCTTCTCTTTGTAAGGTGAAACCGTGTTGGAGGTACAACCTCTTCAACATTGCAAGATCCTGATCTCGCTGAAATTCAGGAAAGGAAACTCGGCTGATCAGCGTGCGTCTGGAATAATATCCAGATTCCTTATGTATCATTGGTGCGGCTGACTTGACGGAGAGCATGTTGTGCTTCTCATGCGAGGGAATGAAGGAGATGGTGCCGCTTGTGAGGTTCAGTCGGAACCCCAAGAAGTCCAGGGCGGCTTCTGTTTCCAGGAAGATGTCTCCTCCATAGAAGTGTTCGTCGCACAGTATGTTGGCTGCCGGAGTCGAGAGCCACCTGGGGGTTGCGATCACGAGTCTGTTGTCCACGTAGCGGAGCAGGAGAGTATCTTCAACGGAGCGAGGTCCCGATGTGATGTGAGTGTTGGTCCAACATTGTTCGGCGACCGCGATCACCATCAAACAGAGAGCTGGGGACGCGGGGGATCCCATCGGTGCCCCACGTGTTTGCCTGAATGAACGAAGGCCGACAGAGAAGATCTGCATGTCAAGGGTGGCCTGAATGATCTCGGGGATGTCGTCGAGCCACTGGGTGCGTTGTGTGGGTTTGTGTCGGCGACGGCGTCCGTTGTAGACGCGGGTGATGGCAGAGGTGTCAAGTGTGTCCACTGTGAGGTGTGTGGTAGAGGAGTGTGGTTGTCGTTGTCGGTACCAGGTTAGCAGTAGTCGCCTGGCTGCTAAGAAGCGGTCTTTGTCGATGGAGGTGAAAAAACCGGAAAGGTCCTGGTTTCGGTAATCCAAATGGGTGTGGCCGAGGCTTAGAAACTCGTGCAAGGACCGCATGAGTTCAAAGAGGTCGCCACCTGAAAACGCGTCAGGGCAAGCCGTGGCCACCATGCTGTGGAGGAGCTTGGCGAGAGCGTCGAGCATGGGTCGGAAGAAGGCGCCAATGAAACTGATGATGGGTCGGGCAGTGGTCCAGTTCTTCTTCCTCTTCGGGAGGATGTAGGCGTTGGCTGGCCTTCCGAATCCGGTCACGGCCCAAGGATAGCGGCCGCGGAGTCTGGTGACAATGGTTTCTCGTAGTCGTTGGTGGATCTCAATGGCAGGGACCGGCAGAGGGGCGAAGATGGCAGGGTCCGCAAAAGTGGCTTCCAACATCTTGCCGTAGAGAACGGGACAATAGATCATGAGTCGGGAGTCCGCATGGTCTTCGCAATGGCGGACAAGGGGTTCCAGGGTATGCAGAGCCCGTTGGACGTGGGCGTGAAGAAAGTACTGTGATGTGTGTGAATGGTGGAGGTCGAAATGGAATTCGACAATAGTAGTGAGGGTTGATGGGTCGAGCGCGGGTAGGTTGTTGGTCCTGGCCCAGTGTTGAAATGCCTGGGTCAGGCGACTCATCAAGACCCCTCGTGGAGGAAAGAAGGAGTTGCGCATCGATCCGGATAGCATGTGGGCAGTGTCGGAGTCGAACAGCTCATGGGTGTCTGCACCGGAGAAAAGAAGGTGTCCGTCATGCTTCGGGAGGGATGGGTGTTGTTGGGCGAGGTCGGTGCATGTGCAGGTTGTTTCACCGAGACTCCAGGTTTTTGCTGCCTGGAGATGTGAGAACAAGGCACTGGAGAGTCTCCGATGTGCCTTGAAGACAATGCGTGGTTGTGCCATGTGAAACGGTAAAGCGCTGCGAGTGGTAGATCGAATAAACCCGCGAAGTTGGGTTAAAAGCAGGGATCGGAAAGAAGGATGGGCGAGGAAGGGTGCAAGCATCGGTCTGGAGGGGCCAGGTGGAATGAGGCCCCGGAATCGTAAACTGGATCGAATGGCGGAGAGGCATGCCTGGTGGTGTGGTTCAGGCAGGTGTGTGGCTATGCGATGAAGGACATAGAGAGCGGCGGGTGGGAAGTCTCTGCTCCGTATGTAACGGATGGCATCAAATCGTCGTAGAGTGTTGCTGCCAAGATCGCCCAAAAAACGCCACAAATCCAGGCGGTTGTTCATGCGCTTGGCCAGGAAGGCCTGTTGTAGGGCGATGGGTAGTCGTAGTCGGCGGCGTTTTCGCCAGATGGTGGCGAAGCCCATGTGCCGGGATTGGGAGTAGTCCAATTGGCGTATGAAGCCCGTGCGTGGCCGGAAATGTTTCTCGATGAAGCCAAAATTGAGAGACGGTTGCAGTTCCTGGATGTAGAACTGTTCAGTGGCAACTAGGTCCGTTGCTGGAACGGCAGTGTGAATGGGCACCGAGGTGTAGTGGTGGAAAATGTCAAAATGTGCCCACCACCGGACTGCTAGTTCGGCATTGACCAGATGATGTCGCTGAACGTGGAGTAGTTTGCGAAGTCGGCTGTGGTCCCGTGCCATGAGGGAGGTGCGAGTGGCTCCGAG